ATGTTTAGACTATTGTACTTATCTCGATGGATAAGCAGCAATATAGTCCATTATCTATTTATATTAATAAACGTACGTGCTCCAGTACGTGCTTTTAATTGAGTTCCAGCGAAAGTTTAATCGATTTTTTTATATTTGCTGCTCTCGTACCTAAAAACTAATAACAAAAAACGGTTTTTGATGCTGAACTGAACTGTCGTTTCATGATCTTTAAAAATTTAGTTGAATTTTACATGACAAACTTGTCCAAGTAAAATTGAAAAACTGCAGTTCAAATCTAATCCTTTATATTATATGCATAATTTATTCATTTAAAAAAAATTTAACAGCAGGAATAACATCATGTGATTTATTATATTCTTATTTAAAAAGTTTACAATTATCTTTACGTAAACTCCTTTCGTTATAGAGGAAATTGACGTATAATTTTAATTTTTAAACACAGTAAACTATTACATATCACATTTTTTAATTATAATTAGCTATATTATATTATTTTAAAAGTTTGTCAAAAATTTCAAATAACTCAAATTATAATGCAGTTTATAAATGGGCACAAAATTTTTGTCATGATTTTTCGCTAAGCAAGTAAATATTTAGAAATTGTACTTTTAAACACTTTTTTTACAAACCTTTATTTTAATTTTTAATTACGGGAACAGACCTCAAATTATATCACACAAATGTAAACACAGTAAGAAAGAAACATTGCAAGTTTAATTTTCACCTATAATTTTTTTTAATATGGTAATAACTATAAACACATATACAGATTCATCAATGAAATAGGAAGAAAAAACAAGTCAGCTGATCTAATGATATTAAAAAATGTCTCCTAAAAATAATGATCCAGAAACAAATCCAACAGAAGTCCAAGATGCTACAGAGTTGCAAGGTAAGACAAATCAGTTTTTATTAAGTCCACTTAAATTTTAAATTAACATATAATATGGTAGAAATGCAAGACCTAAATGAAAGCCTTGATGAACTGAGCACCGCTCTGGATTTCTTTGAACAGAAGACAGATAACATAATTAAACAGCTGAAAGAACTTTTACATTCCAACAGAGAAATCAGGAAGGAGATACAAACCGAAATAGAAAACGCTGACAAGAATACACAAAAATCAGAATAAAATGTAATGCCAAACTTTTTGAAATAATACGATACTTTTTTATTTTTTCACGTTTAGTATATGTAAAGCACTTTCAAGAAATAGACTTTTATTAATCTTTTTAAGACGCTGTATTTCAGCTCTAAGTTCGGTAATATTCTGTGCGGAATCATCCTTTACATTAAAATGTAAACAGCTTAAATCGGCATCTACAGATTGCTCTTTTTCATATGTGTCTTCGATGTTCGGTTGTGTAACAAGTACCTCAACACTTTCGTGTTCATCAACTTCTGTTGATTCCATTATTCTTTGAAGATTTCCATTAAACAAATTCCTTTGTTTATTTTCGGATTGAAATGTGTTAACATTTGTTAATTGAATTTTAATATTCATTATAGAACCTTTGTTTTGTATCGTTCTTATAAGCTGTTTACTTGATATATGCCATATATAAACAAGTTTATCTTGTCCCCCAGAGAGAAGAGTTTGTCCATCGATTGATAAAACGAGGCAGTCTACAGATGTATTCGGCGTATGACCACTAAAGTTAGCATTTTTCTCAACCTCCATATGATATTCCTATTTATGGAAATTAACAGTTGATTAATAAATTATGACATATACTTTACTCTTTACCTTTGTACGTGGCACCGAACCAATATTAATTTCATATATATTTCCTTCCCCTGTACCAACATAAACACGAGTTTCTAAAGAATTTGCTACTACTGAATATAAAGCTTCAGCAAACACTACATTAAGCAATAGATTCCCGATGCATAGATCGTAAATTTTACAAGTGCGATCTAGAGATACAGAATACATAAAAGATCGAATCCCTCCGATTCCAATGAATATATCAGTAATTCCTAAACCGTGGTCAGTAAAAGTATACAGCGGAGTTTGATTATCATCCAATTTTGAAACAATTTGTGTTAAATTCCACACTAATATTGCACCATCTTGGCCTGCAGATATGAAATGAGAACCGTCTGATGTAAAACATAAAGATTTTATAGGCTGATAATGTTTTGAAATCATATTAAGCATGCGGCCGCTTGTTAGATTCCATATATAAATTGTTTCTTGTACAGCTGCAATTAAATACAATCCATCTAAAGAAATTGCTAATGCATTAACGATTCCTGGTGTAACAAAACGCACTTGTGTTGTTTGTTCTTGTGAATTAATAGGCCAAATATGCAAAAGTGGCTTACTGCTGTTAGCGGCTAATACATATTCCGAACGAAGCACACATAGACTACGCTTTTGTAAAGTGCCGCCGCCCTTATAGGTCATTAAATTTGTCGCGTTTCGAAAATCCCACACATTGCAGGACACTTGATCACCATCGGCACAACTTGAAAATATGACTTCTGCTAATTCGTTCATAATTTAATATTTAGATAAATAACTCAACAAACATATGGCTTAAATCCCAACGGCGTGGTTAGAAATTTCTATTTATTTTTAATTCTCACTTGGTAGGAGTTGCCTGATCATTTAAAGTTAATAAATTTAAATATTTCAGAAATGTAATTTACACATATATGTATATGTAAAATGTCTAACAGAAATAATATGTTTATTGTTTGAGATTTCATTGTATGATTGTAATTTTTGCATGTAACTATTAGTTCAAGTTTTAGTTGCGTTCTCATTAAGGAAATAAATTCGTTGTTGAGTTAATCTTAACAACACTACAGCTTCATAATATTGGATTCACACGAGAGTTTACCTGAAAATATCATATGCATCTGTAGGGTATACAGCTAAAACCTGTCATTAAAAATGAAAAAAAAAATTCGAAAAATTATTAAATGTGAAAAATGAGGCTTCGTTGTACAAAGTAATATACCTACATTATAAAAGTTTAAGGTACTGCAAGTATCACTAATAAAAAAATACTGCAAATATATCATTCAAAAAAACAGAAATATTGTGAAAGTTCTATCAAATATGAAAATTAATTCCGTAATAAAAAAATTATAATATCCATTAAAAATATATAGAAAAGTTATAGATTTTATATATAATAAAAAGTATGTGTTCAAGAATATATTTTAAATTGTTAACTTTCGAAGTTCAGATAAGTGGCAACGTTGTTAAAATTTATAAAATTGTCCTGCAACAGATGAAAGCTATATAACTGCATAGATTAATAATAAATTGAATCGGCATATAAAACTAGCATAAACATTAAGTGTAATGAAGGCGGTAGAAGAAAAAGCATTAAGTTCCGGTTTACCACAAAAGCGGTATTATCGTCAGCGCGCTCATTCTAATCCAATAGCGGACCACTCTTTTACATAGTAATAAAAATATTTAATTATAGTTGATTAGATGTTTAATATATGTACGTATTTTTATTAGTCCCGCACATCCAAGTGATTTTAATTGGTCTACTTTATATCCACATATTTCATCAAACGAAGAGGTGAAATTTGCTGACATTGGTTGCGGTTATGGTGGATTTTTGGTTACACTGGGTGAAATGTATCCTTCAGTTTATTCCATTGGCTTAGAAATTCGTGTTAAGGTTTCAGATTATGTCATGGATCGTATTACTGCACTTCGCGAAATACATCCTAACGCCTATACAAATATAGCGTGTATTAGAACAAATGCTATGAAGTATCTACCAAATTTTTTCTATAAGGGTCAGTTAGAAAAAATATTCTTTTTATATCCAGATCCACATTTTAAAAGAGCGAAACACAAATGGCGTATAATTAACCAAGCATTATTGTCAGAGTATGCTTATGTATTAAAAGCGGGAGTAAGGATATGAGATACTAATAACTATTTATGCTACAAAGTTTATTTTCAGGGTATGGTATATATTATGACTGACGTAGAAGATTTGTATTCTTGGATTCTATATCATTTAGAAAGGCATCCATTATACGAAAAAGTTGGAGAAAAAGAAATCGTAAGAAAATATGTTATTTTCGTACATTTTGTAGCTTGTAATAATTTATCTTGTTATATTATAGGCTTCTGATCCTCTTACACCAAAATTGTACCAAAGCAGTGAAGAAGGCGCAAAAGTTGTAAGAAATAAAGGGCAACACTTTTTAACTGTTTTTAAAAGGATTTAAGAATTTTAATTATTTGTTTGTTTTCAAATATATTGATTTCGATGTCCAATACCTTTACAAGATATTATAACATGACTATCACTAATTTTAGTTATTTTAAATTTTATGTTAAGCATCAATTCCATGATGTATATGGCAGTTTGTGTGTGGTTTGTTATGCAGCAAGTCAGTATTTCAGATATGCCATCAGCGAGTGCCATATATATAATTAACTGATCTTGTACATATTGATCAACACATGTATGTTTTAAAATATAATTTTGGAGTTCAGAACCAGCTGTCATGCCTAAAACTTGTCCATCGATTTTCTTTTCTCCTAACGCCGAAGCACCAAGTACACAACCGCTAGATGTTTCAACTTTTAAAACAACACCTGCACCATTTTCTGTTGTTATATCTGGATGTTCTTTATATGCCTCAATATCTATATATTTGCACATCTGTAAGTCATTTAATATACGTTCCGCTCCAGTTTTAATGTCGACAGCCAATCGATGAGGAAGACGTCCAGCAACGTAACACCAACCGCTAATTTTTTCTACTTTACCAAATTGCGTTAAATTAGTCGCTTTTATATGCCGAATACACGGTATTGTTACATTGCACCAACCTCCACCACGAGGATAATAACCGCGTTTTATTAAATCGAAATCGTAACTTATACCAAAATATTCCATATTAGGGCGTAATATTTCAGTTATGAAATCTACCTGAGGCGCCATAGCAACGTTCGTACCACCTTTAATTGTCAATTGCGTAGTACTGCTTCCAAATATTAAAACGGGCACTACCGCCTGCAATATTAAAGATATACTAGCAGCTGTTTGAGTGTCCACTTGGTACTGACCAGATTGTATATCACCAGGATAAAATTTTACATCAGTCGATCCAAGAAAATTACCAATCACATTAGCTTTAGTAATTGCTGCTAATAAATTAAGCCCGTGGAGATGCTGATTGGAAAGACCTGGTTTAGGTCGATTTGCGCGTATATTCGTAATATGCACAGGGCGACGTAATATACAACTTAAACTGAGTGCATTGCGAAGTATCTGTCCGCCACCCTCTAAAACGCTACCATTTATTTCAATAATAGACATTTTATAAATATTTTAAATAATTGTTTGATTTCAACGTTTTTGATACAAAATACCTGTATTTATATCACGTTGAAAAAAACGAAGTGAGAACAAAACAGACAGCACCGATAAATATAAAAATCGGTAACTCGACAAAGCAATAAAATTTTATGTGTTTTTCTCTCTATTATTGCTACTTTAGTCTAATTAGGTAAAACAACTAATTTTTATTATTGTAAAGTATTTCACAAAACTTATTTTAATTTGAAATTTTATGGTTTGAAATTAATAAAAATTGATATATATATATACAAAAACTTGATAGATATGTAGCTGTCAATATTTTCAACAATCATAGTAAGGGCCACCAGCGCCTAGTTAGCAACCAGCGCCAAGTTAGCAACGTTGCTGGAAAATGCAGGGCTGTATTTTTAAAAAATTTTTAAAAAATTATATTTTCGTTAATATATGGAATTAAACTAAAACAAAAGGCATTATTCTTATAGAGTTTTGAAAGATCTTTCGATTGGCATTTACCAATTTGAGATACGATGCGTATTTTTCAAATTATAGGGAAAATAAAAATTGACCAAAATCGACTTTTTTTGAAAAAATTTATTTTTAGAAAAATCTAGAACAGGTACAATGTTGCACGGAAATACATCTAATAGAGAATTAATCAGGCTATCAACAGCAAAAAAAATCATAAAAATCGAGTAGACCAATTTTGAGAAATTTGATGTCAAAGTCAAATTTCCAAACTCGTCAATTTTCAAGCTTTTTAAAAAATGTAAAACGCAAAAGTATAAAAAAAACTTTCACAAAACCGGATAAATAAGAATCATTTCAATATCTCAACTAAAACATCAAAATATTATTAAAATAAGCATAAATTTTGCACATGTTCCGATATAAGTGCATTTTATTTAAATTTCGAAGGAGGTACAACCTGCACGCTTAAAGTTCCTAAAACTAAATTGATCACTCTTTCAAACAAAACTAATTTCACAAAAATCGAGTAGAACGTTTTTTAATTATATATGTTTAAAAAAACGAATTTTTTACGAAAGAAATGTATGTTAACTAACACCATTCTAATAACATAATAAGGTGAAAACCTGTACAAGGCTAAAAATTCACCACCACTGTAAAGTTTATTAAAGAACTCTGTTAAAAGTATTTATAGGTGGTTGTATTCTGTGGTAAGGGGATGATTATAAAATTTAATTTATATAATAATAATATTTTAAATAGCAATATGTTAAATTAAATTCAAAAATATATTGCATATAAAAAAGAAAGATTTTCGTCTGTAAACTGCTAACATATACCGCCATATCGAACATTTTTCAATATATATTAGAAACAAAAATAAAAAGTAGTACAATGTTGCACGGTATTTTTTTAAATTGTTTATATTTTTCTAATATGAATTGATGTAAGAATTATCAAAATCGAGTAGCAAACAATAAAGATATTAACAAAAACAACTTTTGCAGCATATTCACGAATGCATTGAACTCTGTTACAGGCATTTGTTGTTGGTTATAT